TTAATATGAAGGAATGTCGCACACCTAACATGACCTGCTTTCACCAAATGTATACATTTTGGTGCAACAATTTCTTATCTGGTTAATATTTTTTTCGTTCACTTTTACTTATTTAATATTTTAAAATTAATTTTAATAATTATTATTTTTAATATATAACAAAAATATTTTATACTACTTAAATTAATCATGATTCATTTAGAGAAATACAATTTTTTAAAAATAAATAAATAAAAATGAACGGAGAAAATGTATGTAAATACAATGTACGAGAAAAAAGAGAAATGTAAAATGTTTGGTAGAGATTATAAATGTTAGAAATAACTAACAACTTTTCGTCCATACTGTCAATCAATTATTCTTTCTGTCATAGTTTTCAATTTTTTCTATATTTATTTATTAAATGAAAATGTCTCTTATCAATAACAAATGTATACCAAACATTATAATGGTAAATTTTTACATGTCAATAATTAATGAGGGCCAGTTAATTTTTTTTTTTTTAAAAAAAAACAGAGAAGTTTTTTTAAGTATTGGGGTTGCTTTATTTTGGTCCTTAATATAATCTAGGTGATTGAGATAGTCCTTCATGTATGACAAAATGTGTTAAATATAACTGTGGGGCCCACATAACTTACAAAATCCACTATTTTTCTCTTCTTAATTTACAAAATAGTGGATTTGTAAGTTATGTGGGATCCACCGTTATATTTAACATTTTTTGGGACAAATTTGTTAAGTTTAGGATAAAGGATCAATTTGAACCCTTTTTGTCATACATGAAGAACTATTTCAATCTCCTAGGATATATTAAGGATCAAAATAAAGCAACCTTATACATCAAGGATCATTTTGATCATTTTCTCCACTTATTTACCACGTAGTCTAGACAAGATGGGACAATCACAAGAACCTTAGGTTACAACTTATTTTGGAGATTATGACATTAATTTAACTTTTTGAAATGATAATTTTAAATACAATACTAATTTTATGAAATTTGAAGTTGAATTACCAATATTAATTTTTCAACTAAGATTCGTTCTATTATTTCTTTTCAAAACTAATAGCGGCCTCGACTGAAACCTGAGATGACTTAAAAGTTAAAATATCACTTTTTGAAAATTCTATCGTTTCTCTTTGAAAATTGTTCAAGGTTATAAAGCAAAGTTGCCTAACATAAGTATCACTCAACTTGTTTGGTGTGAGGTATAAGTTATAATCATCTCACGATAAAATGTAGAATTATTTTATCCAATATTTGGTTGGAGGTATTAGGTAGTCATTAGAGTAGTTGTCCCACAATTTTGTCATAGATTAGTGATGGGGTAAGTTATCCCATATACATGGTGGAACAACTTATCCCGAAATAACTTATCCCACGACTAGTTATCCTGGAATAACTTGTTCCTAACCAAACGACCCGTTGATGGAAGATAATATTAGCAAAATGGCTTTACATTACTAATAGAATTGGAATAAGTGCCCATTTGGATTGACTTATTTTAGGTGCTTTTAAGCCAAAATAGAAGTGTTTGGGTAAAGTTAAAAAATGCTTATAAACACTTATTTTAAAGCCAAAATAACAAAAATAAGCCAAAAGCCATAAGTTAGAAATCCTAACTTATGGCTTTTGGCTTATAAGTCATAAGCCAAAAGTCAATCCAAACAGGCTCTAAGTTGATCAATAATATGACATGTTAGACAAGATGAATGAGAAGGAATTTTAGTTACGCTTTATCAAACAAGAAATTATGGAGAGTTGAATAATTATTATTTTTCTTTTTGTAAGAATAGTTATTCTTATCTCACCTTTTTGTTTATCTGACCTTAAATTAAGTTTGATTTTTGCAGATGAATTTGATAGCCAAGCTAGATAACCCTTATATTATTGAGTACAAGAATGCATGGGTAGAGAAGGTATATATATTTATACAATTAACAAAATTTTCTATATGGACTTAATATTCTTTTATTTAGTACACATATTCATGTAGAAAGCTAAAAAAAATTATGTGTTGTTATACATAATTAGGACTCCTTTGTCTGCATTGTTACAAGCTATTGTGAATGTGGAGACATGTAAGTTTCCTAAACATGCCTAAATTAGCATTAATTTTATCTTAGTCAATAATTATGATGTATTTCTTGACAGATTTTGTACTTGTTTTCAGGGCTGATATGATCAGAAAAGCCAGAGGAACATTTTTTCATGAAGAGGTATAAAAATGAGAATAAATTTCCAACAAAACACAAAACGGATTTTGAACTCATCAAGTTTACTTTTGTTTTGCCAACAGAGACTTTGCAAATGGTTGATTCAGTTGTTACTGGCTCTGGATTACCTTCACTTGAATCGTGTTCTTCACAGAGATCTTAAAGTATGACCCTTTTTTTAAAAAAAATTTGTAGAGTTTTGGAGTAACTCATACTAATAGTTTTCATTTGCTTTGCTCCAGTGCTCTAACATTTTCCTTACTAAAGACGATGAAATCAGACTTGGTATGAAGTATAAATAGTCCATATAATAAGTGTCTATTTGCTGCAAATTTTGTGTTGCTTCCGATATTTCTTATGTGTGTAGGTGACTTTGGATTAGCCAAATTGTTGAATAAAGATGATCTCGCCTCTTCGGTAATAAACCCTCCCTCATTGCATTGCAATGTTCTTGTTCATTTTATGCATCTCAATCATTTCTTTCCAAATTGGACGTCTCAAAATATAATGTCACATAAATTGAAGCAGAGGAAGTAGATAAGACAACTCTTATTTAGTTGTTCAATGTGATGTAGATTGTGGGTACTCCAACATATATGTGTCCTGAGCTTCTAGCAGATATACCTTATGGATATAAATCAGACATATGGTCTCTAGGTAAATCATCATCTTCAACTTATAAAAAGTGCAATTTTTGCATTCTCAATTGATCAACGTTGATTATAATGGTTTGCTTCTCAGGTTGTTGCATGTTTGAAATTTCTGCCCATCAAACTGCATTTCGTGCTACGGTTAGTCATTAAACTTTACAAACTAAAACAACTATAATGTGTTTCGTTCTGTGACCGGCCATATGTGAAATTAACTCGAAAAACAGGATATGGCTGGGCTAATCAACAAAATAAACAGATCTACTATATCTCCACTTCCAACCATATATTCTTCTACATGGTAACACGATACATCCATTTCTCATTTCCATAGTACGTTAAGTTTGTGACTGCAGCTTCATCAATTTCTTATATTGATTTGTTCGTTCCAGGAAACGATTGATTAAAAGCATGCTAAGAAAAAGCCCAGAACATAGACCTACGGTACGTGTTACTACTTACATTTTGTTGTATGTATGTTGCATAGATATTTACTGATTCATTATTACTTCTTGTGTCTGAATATATATTAGGCTGCAGAGTTGTTAAGGCATCCACATTTACAACCATATATTGCTAAATATCAGAATTTGTCACCAGCATTTGTTCAAGTATGTTCTAAGAAGGAAGTTAAACAGAATCCTGATCAAACTCGCGAGAATTCAACTTCCAAGTATATTAGACAAGCAAAAAAACACGAGAAGGTTGTTGCAGTTGATAGAGTTGTTCATGAATTCAAAGGTACTGAATCTAACGTTCAGACAAAGAAAATTGGAAATTTGGAGAATGAAGGACTCCAAACTATATCCGTCAAGAAAAGTGAAAGTACTAATTCCATAAGCTCTACAAGAAGTACCTTGACTGATAATACAATTGAAGGTACAATTCAGAAGATTGAAAGGCAAACTAATGGAAAGAAAGGTACAAAATGCTTTTATAAGAAATCAGGAATACCAAAACCATATGTTGAAGTTGCATCACATGCCAATAAAGTTAGAGCAAAAGCCATTCATCATCTAAGTACTAATCAGCATACAGAAAAACGCGATGGTCACAAACGAGCATCGAGTGATACTTCAGTAATGACTACACTAAATTTGTTACAGGGGAACAACAATAGTATGATGAGCAATGGAAGGGAAGAAGCATTAGAGTCATTACTTGAACTTTGTGCAGAGTTACTTAAGCATAAAAAGCTAGAGGAATTAGCTGGTGTGCTAAAACCATTTGGTGAAGAAGTTGTTTCTTCTAGAGAAACAGCAATATGGTTGACAAAAGGATTAATGAATCTTCAAAATCCAAGTGAAGAAACTTAGAGTGCCTCCTAGTTGTTGAGAATATTTTTTTTGTAATATAATAGCATTGGTTTTTATTTTTTATTTAATCTTGTATGCATGAAGATAATGAGCATTTTATTATTTTAAAAAAATTAGTTTATTTAGTTGATTGACTTTTTAAGTGAAACATTAATAATTGAGTGACTTTCTAAGTGTACTATTCAAAGTTGAGTGAGTATTACTAGTGTGCTCACAAGCTTCAAAAGTGTCTTTGCAAAAAATAAAGAGTTAAATATTTCAGATAGAGAAAGTAATTGTCTGAGTTTAATGTACCAAAGAAAGAGTATTGATCTAACAATAATTTTGAATAAGTAAATTAATAAATGAATATAAATAAGTGTAAAATGAGGATGGTCATTATCTGATAAAAAAAAGACATTTCAATCTATTTCATTTTATAAGAACAATATTTTTTCAGTGAACATGAAATTTTTAAAAGAAAGAACGACTGACACAAAAATGTAAGATATATAACATACCAAAAAGTACTCTATAATATATTACATCAATTTGTAGAAAAATAATAATACTTCTGTTGTTTTTATACGAACCAAAAAGAACTCTATAATATACCACATCAATTTATAGAAAAAATAATAATCCTTCTGGTTTTTTTATACGAAGATGTTTGGATAATATGGAGTTTAAGAAAGAAAGACTTTTGATTAATTGATTATACAATACAATAGATAACATTGTAATGACCAATTTTTCATTCCTAAAAAGTAGCAATCTAAGACAAGAAAATTAGTGACAAGTAATAGTGTAATAGTACTATTTAATTTCAATAGCTTATGCGGGGTTACGGTCCTTATAAATCTAATATAAAAATATGTAAACCTCTGATTGTTCTCTCCACGACCATCAACATTTGCTTTGTTCTTAAATCGATGAAGTACTTTTTGGAATTTTACCACAAACACGGAGCCGAGCTTTGATCATAATCCTGGAGGCATGGAAAATTGTAGCTTGTCACGTGAAGACGAAGACTTCTTTGTATACGGAAGACTTGTGGATCACCACTGAAGAGGAGAGTTTTCCTATTATTTATCCTTTTCTTTTTTGGTTGTATGGAGACCTCTTTATATAGGCACGAGATAAGGCTTGAGGTATTTTGGTCTTCAAGTAATTCTAGTGGATCTTGGGTTTGAAGAGCATGGATTGGGCTTGTCTTGTCAACTTAAGAAACTAACCCAAATGTAATTGGACTTCAATTAAGTCATATAATTTTAGATTAATAACTAATCTAACTTATTAACCAATAACTTGACTTGATGGACATATTGGGAATTTAAGATTTAATTCAAAATTTAATATGAATTTATTCAGTAAAATTTCAAAGTTTACCTACGCCCAAAAATTCTTCAAATTAAAAATTGGTTCGATTTAATTTTCTTTTTTCGACTTAATCGGAATAGTGCATACCCCTAATAAAGGCTAAGGCCATGTGATTCCAGAAGTTATTATAATTTATTTCTATTATGTTGACACAAAAACTATTACATAATGAAATTCATATGATGAAAAAAAAGTAAAAGATTCATATGAAGTTAAACGTCATAATTAGTAAGAATATATCAATATACTCCTTATATTCTATATTAGTTAAATTTGTGAGGCAATGTACAGTTATTAAGATAACTAAAGAACATAATTTAAACCGTATTTTCCACTATTGTCCTTTGTGAAATCAATAATGTAACTTTGTAAGTTGATAAGGATCAAAGGGACAATTGAAAGAAATAAGATATAAATCCATCATCAATCTAACAACAACTAGCCACATGTTCAACCACCCAGACTTCATATGCGAAGGCCTATACATGCAATCTCCGACAATACATAAGATATAATGTAAGTGAAAACAAGCCTAAATACTCAGTTAAAAAGGTCTAGCCTAGCTGGACACCAAACAACTGCTAATGAATTTCGGACAAAAGCTTTTGTCTTAGTGAGAGCCAATCGTGATGAACGAGGATCAGAATTCATTGGGTTTTTACCTTCGTTGCGCTGAAATATCTTCACTTCATTGCTCCCAGGATACTAGTGTCTTTGGGGAATTTTTGGGGTAGCCCCCATCTGTTTTTCTCCTAGAAAATGGAGAAAAAAAATAAAAGACATCGTATTTAATTAATTAGGGTCTCATTCCATCAACTCGATATAGCGTCCATGCATGCGCTATATCATTCAACGATTTTTATTTTTCAAATTGTGATCAGATTTTCTCTCTGTATCAACTAATTTACTATGGCCAGAAAGATCCCCGAATTTCAATCATACTCCGATGCAGAATTTGGTGTCCGAAGGAAACACCGACATATAGTTATAGTTGAAATGACTTTGATTCAGATGATAAATAATGGAGCACTAAAGTGAGTTAGAACACAAATTTCGATCTTCTCTTACAGTTCCTCCACCGAACGCTAGCACAGAAGGAATGAAATAGCTTAAGGGCTTTCAGTTATGATTTAAAACTAAGTAGAAAGGAATCAATCTTACCTCCATAATATATATACATGTGCATTCATAGATGTAACATCACTATCATCGTCAGTCAACCAAAAAGAATTAAGACCACTAAAAGTAACAACCACCAAGATATGCATAGTAATTTGATCTTTTGATCACTCATTTATGGAAACTCATTTTTAGGGGCTTACGCCTTATACGCGAAAGATTGGATTGTCTGAATCACGAGTTTTATATATTGTGTTACAATCGCCTCATATTGATAAAAAGAAACTCAAGCTGCTAGTGGGGCTGTGCTCATTCTCCCTCTTCTTCCGCTTTACAACCGGAATAAGGAACCTTCGAATTCACCCTACCTATTGATGAAATACCATCAAAAGTGGCATAAGAACCACCTAATTAATTTCGTTTCTTTGATCTATCTACTTCGAACAAACCAAGTAGGTAGGCTTCATCTTATTCTATATTCTCCACTGTCTGTATTCATATTAAGTGATGTACGTATAATCTTAGATTTTGAGAAATAATTTAAAGTATATGTAATTCATATTGAAGGTAAAACATGAAGAAAAAGAAAATTCTCATATGCTACAATTGAAGTAAAAATTAGCACATACTATATACATTAATAAATACATACTAAATACACCTGTATATTAAAATTAAATTAAAAAACAAGATTTTATAATTTTTTAAGTAATTATTAAAAAAATCTTAAAATAATTACGTATAAGAAAGAGAAAAATTATAAAATCTTGTTCTTTTAATTTTTCATATATTTGACGTTGGCAGAGATAATGAGGATGACGCTATATAGCTATAGCTAAGTTAAGCAGAAAGTGAGAGATATTCCAACAAAAGAGAGAAAATAATGTGGATGATTTCAGCAGCAACTCTAATTTAAAAACCAATTTTTTTTCTCTTGACTTAGTTCTAATTACATAGAATGATCATGTTTATATAACGTCACACTATTTAAATTTATTTGATAGTCATTTCCTAGAAGATTAAAATGACTAATTCATTCTAGTCAATCTAAACTTCATTAAATAAATGAGATAGTCATGTGTATATCTTTCTAGACACGTATGGTGCTAATTAATTGTAGCCCTAGAGATTAATTTTAGAAAAAACACGTGAAGGAGAAGAGGGAAACAATAATTTAATTACTAACATATTGTGTGGAGATAGTTCAACACTCCCAAGTGTATGAACTATTTATATTATGTTGTTGTATTTCATTATCTTTTTAACCCAAAATAGTCTTAATAAATTGCATGTGAGTAGAACATTTAAACTAGAACATTTTAACCTTATTTTTAATCATAACATCACTGATCAAAATGATGTATGTGAAGAAGGAAGATCAAGTTTTGTCAAGATAACATAGGTCAAAGAGAAAATTACTAGGCTGTTTTACCCTAAATTTTTTCCCCCGCAAATTTACCACTAGACAGTGTCTAGTGGCCTTTTATTAAACATAAAAAATATCAATATGGATAACTGCAAGCAAGGGAGGTTAGGCTTTACCTTACTAATCCTAATGAAGTGTCTACTACCTAGCAAGCGTGAAGAAAATAAGAGCTAGAGAGAACTAAGTATTTTTTTATCACCACAGAGTTTGTAATACACTTCATGATGATATTACAAATGAGGATGCTTAAATAATGCAAAAATATGCCAATCAAGAAGAAAGTTGAGTTATCAGCCTCAAACTTTCTATTGCAAACGCATGAATTAAAAAAGATTGATTGCCCATCAAAAGTAACTTGAAGTATTTTTCTCTTGTCTTCTTCTTCAAACCTATCCAACAACACTTGATAATTCCTACTTTCTTTATGGATTTATTGGATCTTGTTGAACCTATTGATACTGTCAAATGGTTCTGCTTTGCCTGTCGCATCGGTAGGTGTCTTGGAACAAACTCCTCAGTCATTTTACTGTCCCAACTATGTTGCCTTCCATGTGTCTTCTTTTTGCTTCTGTTGCTTCCACTTCTTTGTTGCCTAGGTGATATATCTCCTTCCCTATCCACTCTATCAAAGCACATGTCCAACATATCTTCCTCATCTTCATCAAGAGAATCCTCGCCAACATCAAGCATATTGTCTTCCTCATTTTCATCAAGAAAATCCTCACCCAAATCAATTGTATTTGACACTAAGACCCTTGACTCATTCTTCTTTGCAATCACACATTTAGGCACAAATATAGGAGCTACTGGACTTAATTTGCTATTCAAAGTAGGTGGTGAGACCTGCTTTTCTTGGATCAAATCGTTGTCATTCTCTGTTAACTTTACTTGCTTTCCTGTAGTCTTCGATAAAGCATCAAAGCTATTCGAACATAATAGGTCTGTTGAGGCATTACTAATATCTTGCCTCTTCTCACTATCATAAAAATTTCCAGTCGCACCCTTTTCACTACATGGAGAATTATTTTGACTAGTCGAGGAAAGGCTCCGATTACTAGTTGAATTTTTGTGTGCAACCAGTGTCCAATTTTTAGTTGCATTCTTGGTTTCAACTTGCAAAACATACTGCCCAGAATTTTCAGCAT